TTTTTTTTTTTTTTTTTTTTTTTTTTCTATATATATATATATACCTATATATACCTCGATCATCCAAACCCACTTCTCTTCTCCGACGCAGGAGCTAACGAACCCCCCCCTTCCCCCTTCCCCAAATACAGTTCCAGAACCAGCCGGCTGGCCCGCTCAACCAGGGGACTGGCACTGCGCCCTCACCGCGGACAGCCGCAAGCTCGAGCGCATCGGCAAGGCATGGATCAAGTACACCTGGATCCGCGAGAAGGACGACGAGATCGAGCTGTTCAACCTGATCGGCGACGAGGAGCGCATCGTGGAGTACCTGGGGACCTTGGTGGCCGAGCCGGAGAGGGCGCTGCGCTTCTCCGACGTCGGCGCCCGGGAGGAGCTGCAGATGCTGATCCCGACGGCGGTGGTCAACGGCGGCGATCTGGACCTGTGGGCTGTCTGCTTCGAGACGGAGGCGGAGCTGAGGGCCTTCTCGGACGAGGTCGTGGATTGGGAGGCTTGGGGTGATATTCAAGGGGAGCCTCAGCACGGTTATTCTTAGGAGCGACGTGTTTTACGTGGCGGGTTGGCGGTGGAGATGACGCTTGTGTCTGAAATACGAAGTCGTTGTTGGCGCTGGGGAATGGAGTTTAGTTTAGTGATAGATGAGTTCACCTGGAGAAGTCTAGATCATGTCACGTTACTGTGTGAAGTTAGTTGGGCTTTAAATGAGCGCTATTTGGTACAGAATGCACCACCTAGAATCGGGAAGAAATCTCAGAATTGTGGCTCCAGGCTTGCTCATGAATCCTCTCTTGGCGTTTATTATTGGTTAACGCTCAAGCGTCGATCAATACTACCGGTACATATCGATATCACAGTAAGTAGCATGTAAATCACAAAAGTATAAAATCTAGAAGCCTTATCGAACATTCTTTCACAACGTACTACTACTACTAGTACCTACTACGTAGTACTACGTACTACGTAAGTCCAAGATAAGGATGGCGTGCCTTGCACCACTCGCAAAAGGCAAAGCAGGTCGGGGAAAGAGTCTAATTGAGCTTAAGCAGCGATCGCTTTGACCGCTCCCGACCCTTTTCGCAAAAGAAGGTTACAGTAGTACTACGTACCTATTCTTTTGCCTTTCGTTCCACCGATCTGTATGGGATCCGTTCGACTGTACAGTAGTAGGTATCGTCTCTTACGTAGTACTTGTACTCCCTTCTGAAAGCTCGCGCTTGTCCCCTTCGGAAATCTGAAGCCTGCAGGTCCACAGGCGGCGCACCAATTATCATCTACCACTACGGTACTACGTAGTTACTACGTATCTTTATCTTCATCTTGGCGCTGTATTCTCCGATCAGCGATCTAGCATCCTTTCCTTTCCTTTCCTTTTCTTCTTATTTACTACTTTCTTTCTTTCCCCATCCGATAACACACGTCCGTTGTACGTTACCCACCTATGCATCTCATCTCATCTAAACTCATCCATCCCATCTCATTTCCCCCTGCATCCCATCCCATCCCATCTCATCCCATTCATTCATCTAATCATACATTGTACCTACTTCGATTCCACCCTCGACGTATCGCATCCCCACCCCCACAAACCCCCCACTCAACACCCCTCGAATCCTTCAGATCCTTCAAACCCCACACTCTCTCCCCCCTCCCCTCCCCTCAATCCCCCGGCCCCAACTCTAAAATATCGATTTCTGTTTCCGGCTACACCTCCGTTTCCGTACTTGCACTCCATCGATAATTATGCTTTTTCAGCCCTTTATCTCTTGGCGCTTTTTTCTATTTTTATTTCGGGATGTTGCTTATCTGGAAGACAGGGACGTGCATGTCGGCGTGGATGTGGAGATATGGGTCGATATGGGGATATGGGTCGATAGAGATATAGAGAGATGGAGATATAGAGAGATAGAGAGATAGAGAGATCGATACCACCGACCACAAACTGGTGCATGGGAGCTGAAACGATAAGAAAATACAGACTAACTGTGCTGGATATCGAGGGAGAACTAGATGGATAGATAGACACAGTACGGACATGGACATGGACATGGATATAATAGTAGTAGATCCTCGGCAGTATTTTCCCGGATATTGAAAATGGAGCAATACCGGGGCTCGGGAAGGAGTGTGGGGGTGGGTTCTGGGATGTGAACGTGGATGAATGCCGGATGGGAATGATGTATGTGAATGACGGAGATGGGGATGGGGATGTGGGGGGGCTAGGTGGGAGTGGGGGGTAGTTGCTGAGTAAACATCCCATCTCTTTCCTCTCAAAACTAGGTACCTTAGGTATCGTTCGTTGGCTTCGCTTAGATTAGATTGATAAGATAGATAGAGACTGACTGATGAGAAGGATGGAGAGGTACGGTCTCATTCGGGCAAGAAGGGAGGGAGGGTACTAGGTGTCTGTCTACCTGCATCCATCCATCGATCGATCCGTCCGTTCATCCATTCATTCCGTTCTGGGGGAGAGGTCTCCTCTCGTTCTTCGTCCCTCTGTCTCTCTCTTCCTCTGTCTCTCC